TTTGGAAAGAATACCATGGATATCATACAGCTATCTTGGTAATACCCTCAGTGATTATTCTTGGTAACCCCCATTCATGAATCCCATCACTGACATCATACATATCACAATATAGATGGATTTTTTTTAAATGCTACACAAATTGCTCATTTAGCAAGATACTGATGACAGAATCATTACGATTTCTTCAGTAATTTCTATGATAACACTGACGACCAGAAGTGATAACATTTAAATACAATTATTCACAAAGCCACAATGTTGCTGCAACAATTAGAACATCTGTAATGAAGGAAAAATAGCAAGTTAACTGTAGTTTGATAAGCAACCCATTTCAAACAACAGATCCCTCCCCTTGCAATTAGAACATGTGTTTACGTGACCTGTCCCACACAAATTCAAGTGGAAAAGCTTCCAGACGTTCCATGCTAGCTCAATCCAACTGTTCTACTGAAGAAGAATATCTCTGTATGTTGTAAAAGCAGAATTAAATATGTTTGAGAGATGAAAATGTAATAATCTCCTCCAGCATGAACAAAAATAACAATTTACCCCTAGGCCTCTTTTACACAACATACAAAGTAAAGGAATGCCGTATCAAGTAACCCATTTGAAAATCTGCACAGTAAAAAATTCACAGTGATACAATGCAACCATGGAATTGTCGTAACTAATAAAGCCATGGGTTTCATTCAGAATTTCCAGACTAACATCAGACAGCAATTATTTTTCATTTTCAATGTACTGCAAAATATAATTTTTTGTCATAAGAAGAAATTGGAGTACTCTGAAATGCTTCTAGCAACAAGCAGCTCAAGTGCTTTTTTTTCTTTTCCATTTTCATCTTCCATCTCCAAAGCCTTTGTTTTATTTCACTTTTCTTTTCACTTAATTCCATCTTTAATGGAATACTTAAGAATACTTCCAAAGTACTTGGATAGCTGCGTGCCTAAAACCAGAAAGCCTTGAAAAACTGGATCTTTCATCACTTTTTCAGATTGTCCTCACACTGTATAGCAAAGTAGAAAATATAAATGTGCAAACTTGCTGACACTATTAGAAAAATAAAATCATAGAATCACTCGGGTTGGAAAAGACCTTAAAGGTCATCAACTCCAACCACACTACCCTAACTCTACCAACCCTCCTCTAAATCATGTCCCTGAGCACCACATCCAAATGGATTTTAAACACATCCAGAGACGGTGACTCAACCACCTCCCTGGGCAGCCTATTGCAGTGCTTACAACCCTTTGTGTAAAGAAGTGTTTCCTGATATCCAACCTAAACTTCCCCTGGCACAACTTAAGGCCATTTCCCCCAGTGAGAAGAGACCAGCCCCGCTCTCTCTGTAAGCACCTTTCAGGTACTGGAAGAAAGCAATAAGGTCTCCCTTCAGCCTCCTTTTCCCAGACTGAACAGCCCCAGTTCCTTCAGTCTCTCCTCACAGGTCATATTCTCCAAGCCCTTCACAAGCCTTTTTGCCCTTCTCTGGACCTGCTCCAGCACCTCCTCAGGTGCCCCAAACTGAACACGGTACTCGAGGTGAGGCCTCACCAGTGCTGAGTACAGGAGCAGGATGACTTTCCTAGTCCTGCTCACCACCCCATTCCTGATACAAGCCAGGATGCCACTTGCCTTCTTGGCCACCTGGGCACACTGCTGGCTCATATTCATATCATGACTGTCCATCAGTACATCAAGGTCCCTTTCTATCAGTCAGCTTTCCAGCCACTCTTCCCCAAGCCTGTGGGGTTGCCATGACCAAAATGCAGGACCTGACACTTGGCCCCATTGAAACTCATACAGTTAACCTTGGTCCATTGATCCAGTCTATCCAGGTCCCTCTGTACTGCTCTTCTCCCCTCAGGCAGATCAACACTGCCTCCCAAATTGGTGTCATCTGCAAACAGGTACAAAAACTAAATGTGAAAACACACGTATGCGAAGCTCTAGGAGTGAACCTCATTTCATCTGCTGCTAACCTTGCTGATTTCCAAATATGCCATTTCTGTTTATGTCTTTGCCTGCAGCTGCAAATGTGCCATTGTACTGGATCTAGCTTAAATCCCTCTTTTAGAGTAGTGAGGTCACAAACACCATGCCATATTTGTTGTACAGTGCTTGCTTCTCTGATTGATGACATCTATTGAGCTATCTGCAACTCCTTTATTGCTTCTGTACACTTATTCAATTTGTTTCTGCTCAGTCAGACTGCATATTTAGCACTATTTTGCTTTTAACTACATCATCTGGCAGAGTACAATGAATGGACTTCTCATTCAACTCATAATTAAAAGAATCATGCAGGTCTTATCAGACAAGGGAACACTCTTAGAAAAGATGCAAGTTTCCAGTGACTAGGACAGTTTATTTCCCTACTCTTAAACAATGTTAAGCATTTAAAAACATAGGTCCTAAGAACACAGACTCTCAGCTTACAGCTGTTTCCAAACACATTTATTTAAGGACACATGAGAAACTCAATAAAAGTTCCCACATCAGTGACTTACAGAAACAAACACAGAAAACAATCCTTAGCCTTAGCTCTTCAACGACAGGCTTGCTGCTTACTCACTGCTAGCAGGTTAAGATTTCTTTTCTGTTCTAAATTAAATAATAACTCGGTCATACTTTTTTCCAGGAACTCTACTCAGCGTCATGGTTCACATCTCTATGTGTGATGCTGACTAACAATATGAACTGTATGAACTGCTGTGAAAAGGTGACAGAAGCTGTTGAATTACTAAGGCTTGGGACATGGGAGAGCACTCGACTACGATAAACAGCAAGCAAGAAAAGTTATTCTAAAAGCTTCCTGAAGCTCAGACAGAATTAACACTATAAGATGTGGATCTTTCTGAACATGGAAGATTTTTTATCTTCCTTCATCTGAACTAATATACATTGAAGTTTTTATACGCTGAAGTCTGGAAGAAGGCACACAGAACTCATTAAAACTTTAACAATTTAATGAACAAGAGGAGAAAGAATTGTAGATCATAACCAGCTAGCCAATTTATGTGACTAGTTCCAAGTGCTAGAGGAAGGTAAGAAACCTGTGCTGAACACATGAGAGCCCTTTCTTCATTAGCTGTTATTTTTTGGTCACTCCTATAATTCACATTTTTCTCAAGAGTAACAGTAGTAGCTAAGCCCCTTCTAAATCCTCATTAATATTTGAATTAGGCAGCTACCTGCTGGCTGGGAACCATCTGTGGCCAAATAACAATTTCAGTAAGTTTCATACATAAAAAGTCAAGCAAGCAATGTTTAAATTCCTATTTTTCAGATATTTTGAATAAGGAACACAACTCTCCTCATTACAGCATAAACTGTTCATTTACCCAGTGTTTCTAGCTTACCCCAGTACTGATTGCTAGGTAGGTGCTTTGGACAATCAATTTTTTAAATTATTACTATTTTAATGTTTTCACATCTAATTAAATATCTAATTTTCTGTCAGTGTACTTAACAAAATATCAGACCTGAGGCTCCAGGTTCAAGTTTCAGTCAATGAAAATGAAACTGAATAGGAAATACAGTAAATTTCTTCTGAAATGGGAGCTTACTGATCAAGCATTTCCAGTTTCATTGTGACCTTAAAGAGCAGCTGTATTTTCTATTATAATTAGCTCTTGCACCGTAAGGCATAACTGTTCTCATCATGGAGCAGGCAAGCAGCTACTTGTATACAGTATTTCCAGTAATAATTACTGTACTTCAGGTGTTTTGCATACTTGTAATTACAGAGCTAATTACAATATCTTCGATGTACATCTACATTTCAATATTCCTTATAAAGTAAAAACTGAATTTAAAATGATTTTTCTAAACTGGTTTCATCTCCTATTTGCAATAAAGTAACAATTTCAGAAGCATTCACTTATATTCTTTTTTTCTGTTTTTATTCGTGTCACTTCAGGATATATCAAGAAACCAAACTTCTAAAACCAAAAAGAGATGTATCTTTCTAGAAAGGAAAGGTATCAAGCAATATCCAACAACTAGTCTTGACCTTTTAAGCTTTAGCAAAAATGGAATATCAACTATCTGAAGAGTCATGAAAAACAAAGTTTAAGAAGTAAAATACCAAGAGAAAGCTTCAAAAAAAATGAGAGTTCTCACAAATATGTTTTACACGCATACACACACATAGATCAAGTCTGTTGAGTCATACACGAATTTCAATCAGTGGCTACAGAGCCATGCTTAATCTTGCTCTTATATTTTTTGGAACCAGCAATACTGAATTCTCTTCTAGGCAGTACCATCACTTCAACGCTTGGTGATAAAGCCTATAATGTTACTTTCTTGCTCTATGTGAGTTTAGGATTAACTGGCATGTTGTCCTCCAACAACATAATATTTAATATTTAGGGACCATTTTTACTGTAGAGAATCATGGGGAGCATTAACATGTCTCACTACACAGACGCAGAGCACAAGTAAATCCACAGTGTTAAACATAAATCCTAAGGCTGTGGGCTTGGAGGGGGCAGCTTCACTAATGTGAGCCATTCCGTTTTCATTTTTGTTTGCAAGTTGTTAGCTGCTGAAAGCCAAAATTCTTCCTTAGTGTAACCAACACAAGAAGCCATCAACTCAGAAACTAGCTCAGAACCTTGCTCAGAACTTAGCAAAGCAGAAGCTCAAGTAACAAAGCTTTTCTTATACAACACACATTTTGTCAGAGGGTAAGAAACTATCATTATTTTTATACCAGAGATTCAGCTTAAAAATATTTTTAAGATTTTTTTTTTTTTTTTTTTTCCAGTTTGGACCACTTCATAACTAAATTGCAGCTTTCCTTGAAAATCACTTTTCCAGCAACTCTACACAGATCAGAGAAAAACTCTGCTGCACTCTGTACAATATGCTTTTAAAATACAAAAACAAAAAAAGCCCCTTCACCGTATAAAAAACAAAAACAGACAAAACAACAACAACCACAAAAGAACAAAAACCAAACAGAAAAGAATCCAAAATAGTTTACTTACTTATCCCATTTTTGCAACTTCTCTTTTGAAGTAAAATACCATGCAGAGTAACTTTCCACTTTCTGTGTTCCACTCGAGAGTTCAGCCAGGTGCATCAAATCAATGATGCTTTAATTATCAACATGTGTGAGCTGTGGGTCAGCCAGAGGATTTGTAGCCTCTTGGGGAAAAAAAAAAAAAAAAAAAAAAAAAAAAAAAGTTCAGCTGCAAAATTAATTACACTAATTACTTTCTATGCTTTTAAGTCTTAGTAATTATCAACTCATGAAAAAATACTGCAGAAGAACCAAATTCTATTATTGCTGTCAAGACAAACTTATTTTCAAAGTACTTTTCAATGTATCTAGAATTATTGCTAAATTACTAATAAGCTTTCCAAATGAAGTGTTATAATTTTTTCCAAATGTACACACCCCAAAGTGCCAAAATCATGCAGAAAGTGCCTTTTCTAAGAAAGCATGTCTAACCAAAAAAGAAAAAATGGGGGAGGGGTTGGAAAGAGGAATTTATAGCTTCTGATATGTGTTTAATAAAGTTCCCAGCAAGTCTACTATTAACATTCTTTATCTGATTCTGCAAATAAAAGTTCTTTTGTGTTAGCATATTTTGCTGGACTTCAACATTTCAAAGCAGATCAATTTATGAATTAAGTTCTTGAAACAGATACTTTTCGTGTCTAGGAACAGAAGAAAATGAAAAACCAAACTGAAGTACCTGATCACAAAATCTGTCAACAGCTCTTTTTAGAAAACCCAGTTCTCAAGAGGTTACAATTATCACAGCATGCCATTTTTTCAGGAAAATAATTTTGTCCTAGACAGCTTTCAGTTGTATAGTTATGTTCTTTTTTTTTTCCTTTCTTTGAATGAATAATGGCTGTAGCCATATCTGCATGGTGAAAAGTTACCTCACAAGTCTGACTGCTCTCAACAATCTGAAAAGAGAGAGGGACATAGACTAGGTCTGGATTACACTCGTTGTTTCTCTGATGCTTGAACTAAAAGGTTCACATTAACATGCTATCATAAAATCTAATAATAAAATTGAGGAGCAGACTGACATCATCCCTAGTTTTTAAGATTTATCTGCAACTTAGATCACTAAAACAGTCTGTTTTCAGAGTAGCTCTTCAAAACTAATTTAATGAAACTTACTTTTTTTTTTTTTAATGTGTTCATACACTCTCTCAAAATATTAATGCCAGGCATGCAAAGCAGACATTGTTTGGTAAAGAAAAGAAATGCCAGCTGATCTTTTATGTCCTGGCTTGAGTCAAAATTCACCAGAGACAAAGATAAGTCAACTGTACCTCAGCATTCTACATCACCAAGGAGAGCACGGCAAGGCTTTCCTGCTGCATGTTGTTAGAATTATTTTTATAGAATTCTGCAAAGGGCAGAAATAATAACAATTTATTTCATATTGCTTGCTATTTGTGGAAACTTACAATGAACTGACATATTAATGGGGCTAAGCAGCATTTCCCATGTTTCTCAAAGTTCCTATTTTGTAATTTTATTTTATCCTTTCACACTTCAGATATTTGCCACGCATTCTTTAGAGACAGCAGAGTATTGAAAGAGTGGCACACAGTAAATGCTAGAAACACTCCTGATTGTGCTTATCTTTATGTTAAAGACAAAGGAAGGACTCAGAATATTAGCTGTTTTCATTGTTAAACTGTTGTACTTTAAAAATACAGCTTTTCTAACAATCTGGGTTTGGAACACATGACAGGCTTCAAGAACTACCATTTCTAGTAACTTCCCTAGCTCAGAACTTTTCTGTGCGCTGCAGATAACTTAATCCACCTCATACAAAATTGTCAAGGTTTTTTTTTTTTTAATATTCAATAGTTATGAAGCCATTTTTCCTCGTTATTTTCTCTTGAATCATAAGAGCACTTGGCAAGAACTCAAAGCATACGTGGCTGCCGATGTTTCACATGCTGGCAGAGAAGGTGAAGGTTGAATCACTCTAACGCATAGGAATCGATTCGGAATAGCTCTTGTAGGTTTGGAAAGAGCTACTTGCTCTCCCAGCTAACAGAAATGTTACACCACGCCACTGCAGACTGAAAGAGTTACAGAATTTACGAAGAAAGCTATTGTGCTTGGTCGTACACTCTATTCCCTGAACCTTGGCAACAAAGGAAGGGTTGAACCTCTTAGTGGGAGGATGATTACCGAATAATGCTCCTGGCATGCACAAGGCCTTTCTGTTCCTCATTGATTGCCGTGGGTATCAGAAGTGAATGAAGTAGGAGAAGATGGATTGTTCTAATACCCAGTTTCCCTGCAGATAAGCACTGAGCTGGGGCACTCTTTCCTGGCTTCAGATGGACCTTCAGCTCTTTTGAATTCTGGAAGCAGTTTATTTATATTCAGAGCCCTTAAAATAAATACTACCTCATTTTCAACTGTCTCAGATTAACTACATCTCTCTTTCTGTAACAAAACATTAAGTTCACTGTTTTGCCCAGAGCCACGCTTCTCCTAACTCAGGGGCTCTACAGAACTTCTGTTTTAAGTATTATCTCGAACACCATCTCCCTTCCCACTCAGGGCTGGTGTTGCTGCAGCAGCCTATCACGCACCCAAATCCCCACCTTCCCCTCCTATCAGGGCTCCTACATCTCATCTTCCCCAGGTGCTTGTCCTAACACCAAGCAGCTGTGTCTCAGCCAGCTGGGAGAAGAGCTCTGCCTAGCCAAATCCTTAGGGCTTCTACTCAAAGCCTGAAAGTAACAAGCAGTTGAGTGTGCTTTGGATTACCTGTAGCATTATCAATCTGTATTGAAAGATTGAGGAGCTAAGGATCTAATAGCTAGAGGGATTCATGTGTAATTCAGAACACTAAAGAAGAAGGGCTTCAGCCATACAGGAGAAGAATCTCAAAAAGCCAACACAGCATTTATAAATGTCCTCCCTCAGAAGAAGAAAAAAATACTATTTAGCATGTTAGCTACTACCGGGAAATAACTGGTGGACATCAAGTTTGTTTATTATTGAATAAAAATGGCCTTCATTCAATAAAGAAGCTGCTTGCAAAATATATATATGTGTTTGAGAGTTTTAATTTTTTATGTATAGTAAATAATATAATCATTTTAAACAAAGGCTAATTTTTTTAATTGAGTTTTTATTCATTTGTGTATGTCATTCATTTTGTCCAAGAGATATAGTGGAGAGGATGCAATATGAAAAATGAGCACTATGCAGGTGTTGTACTTTTGTTTTCTTTTACAAATTTGGACACTCAAAACTCATGAATTCAATTTCAGAATTCAAAAATTCTTGCAATTTTTCCACCATAGAAAACTGAGACATACTGAAAGCATTCTTTTTTCTTCATTAGATATGAATGATTCCATTCAAATGTTGCTCTTTGCTCCTCATGATTTAGAATTGGTCAACTATCATCATACTTCTACTGCCTTCATAAAAAGGTTGCTGCACATCTACTTTATACCTTGAGCCACAGTCATCTGCAAAGGCTGGTGATATTCAGCTACTGCAGATTGACTCGCCACCCATAATTCTCTACACTTTAAACCTTATCTACTTTGTCTGTAAAGAGTTTAGTTGTGAATAGTGTGGACGCCAAAATGAGTGCAATTGTTTCATCACAAACAAGGTTTCATGCCCTATAAATCTTTTTTTTTTTTTCCTTTGATGTAGTGTATGCTCCAGTATTGCATTATTAAAGGCATTCAGCCTTCACTCTGTTGTACTTTTTGATGGTTTGGGGTTTTTGGGGGGTTGGTTTTTGTTTCTTTCTGAATTGAACAGGATAAATAAGTTGTCTCTTATTTGTCTCAGGACACAATTGTGAACAACATCTCAGAAACTGGTCCTGGTACATTCGCTTCTAAAAGATAGGGCGTTCTAGTCTACCTGACAAGAACAGAACTACTACCTTACAAGCAACAGAACAATTTCACTTTTGAAGTTTAATGTGCTTTTTCAAGTACACACAGCATACAACATAGCAAAACCAGAACTGTAGAGATGGCCACAGATTTCAATTGTAATAATACCTTTACTGGTTTTATTAATCAGGTCCCAGACATCCAGTGACTAGCCATTCTGTTTTGATATTTTCCTCTACAAAAATTTACAATAAAATAATGGCAATAAATAAATAAAAATTTTAAAGCCTTTTGCTTCTATGCTTTCTTTTCTAGCTGGATTTTAGATCATGGCTGTGTTGTTAAACCTGTTCTAATAGCTAAAAACAAAAGAAAAAAAAAAAAAAGAGAGAGAGAAAGGAAAATAAATACTGCTTATCCAACAAAAATCACCTGATTAATTTCCCTGTGTGTCACAGAAGCCTATGTGCCTATGTAGTGAGAATATCTTGCGCAGGTTAATAAAGTAATGGAGTTAATTTATTGCCTAATGTTGAGTCACAAAAAAGGATAAAGATGTAGTATCTGCTCAGCTCTGTCTGCAAGGCATGGCATGATTTCTGATCCCCTCTACTTTGTCCTGGACTATTGTGTCCTCCACACTGTCTCATTGCTTTGATCGAGATACTGAAGAACTGGAAATAAAAGAAACTGTCAGCCTGCCTGCTCATCCAATTCCCACCTGCAATAGAAATTGATAATGAAGCATAAGGCTCTTCATCCTTAAATAGTCTTCTAGGGATAAATTACACGAATGTCAAGTGTTTTCCTGGTAGGCACTGAGAGTTACCATTGTTGGACAGACTGCTCAGACCTCCAATTAATTATGTCTGTCCATCTGAGACTACAGCGTGTGCTGAGATGGACACAGAGAAAGTTTTATTGGTGGGAAAGGAGCTAGGGCATTTTCTAGCAGGGCTACTTACATCTCCTCAGGCAGCATCCTAGATGCTGGAGGTGGCATAATTTTGTCCCTGTTGGGATATATGCTGTTATATATAATGGAATATAATGTGTTATATTAGAGACATAGACAATTGTGAGAATCCTATTTTGAAAAACTGTTCTGAAAAGGACATCCCCTGATGTCCTTCCTTTTCCTCTAGGTAACCAAAGATGTTCTGTTACATGTCTCTCAATCATCTGCTTGTAACTTATATTTTGACATTTTTTGTCTTGAAATCCAATCCACTTTCTGCATTAAGGTATGTAAATGTACCTGTCTGCACTGTCACACAAAGTTACAGG